TTTTGTTGTGTACTATGGTTCAGAATTCCGACTTAAAACACTTTCAATATCTGGTAAATATATTCTTGTGTATCTTTTACTGTATTAATGATTACTTCAGTATTTTTTTTTAATATTCATGTATTTATATTTTTATTGTATGATATATACATTTTTTTCAACTATACTTTTTGCATGCACCTGCTTTTATGTATTTATTTCAGCCCTTAGTGAGAAAGAATGTGAACTTTGGGTAAAAGGGCTACGTCGTTTAGTTCAAGATACTATAAAAACTCCATATCCTTTACAAGTTGAAAGATGGCTAAGAAAAGAGTTTTATGCAATGGAAAATTCAAGAGAAACGTAAAGACATTTATAATTCTTCAATCTTACTTTTAGATTTTTACTTACTTAAATTCTTACTTTTAGAATATATTTATATAGAAGGTGTCTCATTTGAAATCATCCACGTAATTGTCTCCTAAACTGTTTGTTATTTGTAGAAAATATTTCCAATAGAACTTGTTTTTGTTTCAAGGTGAATGTCTTATGATGAACACAAAATTTATTTAGCTAAAAAGGCTGCCAATGCTGCATATACTTGTTTAACTAAGTATGTAAAAGGTCAATCTTGGACATCAATACAATGATTTATTCATGTAATCAAGGGAGGTACGTTTTTCTTGATAAACTTCTTTTATAAAATCGCACAAGAGAAATCTAGAGGTATTAAATCTGACAACCTTAATAGGAAGGAAGTTCTATTTACACTTTTCATGCAATGTTCATGTATTGTTCATAGCCATATTTTTGAATATAGGAGATAAGAACAACGTCTAGAATATTTAACAAAGATAAGTTTTAAAAGAAAATAAATGTTCTTAAGTGATACTTAAAGTTCAACACATTATAGATCAATAAATTCATCTCAGATTGGACTTCATATGTGTCTAAATAAAAACATATAGTTCCATTTAAAAAAAAACGGTCATTTTGAGATAACGTTGGCACTTCCATCTAAACAAACTTAAAGTCCATCATAAGGCATCCATCTTGGAACAGATAAAGTTTTATATATTTGAAACATTTTTTCATATTGTAAATGATTTAAGAGATAATTACGTGGATGGATTCAAATGAGGTATCATGTATATGTGTGCGTGTGTGTATGTGTGTCGTATATATATATTATATAAATCTTTACATATATCTCTTTATAATGTTTTTACATAAATTTTAACAAAGCACCTATACATGTCTTAAATTTGTTATTTTCATACATGTCTAATTTTAGTCCTTTACATTCATAGAGTTACACTGAAGGATGTGAAAGCATTTTTACCCAGAGTTAATTGTAAAGTAGCAACAAACAGACTGCGGGAGCTTTTTCAAGAAATAGATACAATGAGCAGAAATGAACTTGGTTTTGATGATTTTGTTGTACTTTATCAGAAACTTATGTTTGATCAAAGTGTAAGTTTTTAAATTATCACATTATTGATATTTCTTAACACTTTACCTATCATAAGTCTATTAACAAGAATCTCAATAATTATGTTATATTAAAAAGAAGCTTGAAAGTATTCTTTTGAATGATAATCCCAAAAAGATTATTACATTATGTTAGCAAGAATGATTTCTTGATGTACTATTAAAATTATTGATACTATTAAAAAATTGATTACGAAATTCTTAATTATGAATCGTAAACTTTTAAAAATTATTAATTATTCATTGGTAGGTAATGTGTTAATATAAATTTCCTATTATTCTGTTATCTCTATGCTTATTTTTTATATAGATTGTGTATTTGTTTTCACAGAATTTTACAGATTGGGTTAAACTTCTCAATTATTCTGAAACAGGGCCACTTGTTAGTGTTCATGATTTCCAGAACTTCTTAATAACTGAACAGCAGGATTCATTGGGACACAATGAGATAGAAGTTTCATGTTTTATTAGAGATTATTTACAAGATCCTCTAAGAGATGTACAAGAACCACAATTTATGTTTTCTGAGTTTATCGATTTCTTATTTTCTAAACAGAATTCTGTTTGGGATTCCAAGTATTCTCGAATATACCAGGACATGAATAAACCCCTTGCACATTATTGGATAGCTTCATCACATAACACGTAAGAATATTGTTTCTGAAATGAGCATAATTTACTTAGGTATCTCATTTTTATCTTTTCATACAATTGTATTATAAATTGTTTATTATTCGAAAAAATGATTTAAGTATATTCAAAATGTATTAAACTCTATTAGAAAATAATTGTGTAAAAATATTACAATGGGAAATGGAAGTGATTAAATAAACGTTTTTCTAGATATCTAATGGGAGATCAGATTAGCAGTGAAAGTAGTTGTCAAGCATATGTACGTGCTTTAAGATCTGGTTGCAGATGCATAGAACTTGATTGTTGGGATGGACCAGATGGGATGCCATTTATTTTTCATGGTCACACACTTACCACAAAAATAAAACTTCTGGATGTCATTAAAACCATTAAAGAGCATGCTTTTGCTACTTCTGAGTAAGTATAAATAAATTCATTTATTTAAATTTTATAGAAAAAGTCAAGCCATAAGTGTATGTTCTGCATAGCTATCCTGTAATTTTATCTATCGAAGACAATTGTACATTGCCTCAACAACGTAAAATGGCAATTACAATGCAAGAGGTATTTGGTGACATGCTGTTAACACAACCTGTAGATAAAAATGAAACTAGTTTGCCATCACCACATGCTTTAAGAAGAAAAATCATATTAAAACATAAAAAATTACCTGATGGTGTTGACGAGACGTCGTTTCTCGTTCGAAATGATGAAAGCAGGCAAGAAATGGATCTCAGAAATACCGTGAAGAATGGTATTCTTTACCTTGAAGATCCTGTTGATAGAGATTGGAATCCACACTTTTTTGTGCTCACTCAACAAAAGTTATTTTATACAGATACATTTTCTAGAACTCAAGAAACTGAGCATGATGATGATGAAGAAAGTATCATACGACAGCCAACAGATGTATGTACTCATTACAAGTATACTATCAATAATTTTTTTATTGAATCCTAATATTTCTTATAATAAAGGGTGTGCCTAATGATGAATTACATTTTGGAGAAAAATGGTTTCATGGTAAATTAGCAAATGGCAGAGAAGAAGCGGAAGAATTGTTACAAAGCTACTCGGATCTGGATGATGGTACTTTTTTAGTACGACAGTGCGTTACATTTGTAGGAGATTACTGTCTTTCCTTTTGGCGTAAAGGCAAAGTGAATCATTGTCGCATTAAACTCAAGCAAGAGATGGGTCAAACACAATATTATCTCATTGACACAAATTGTTTTGATAGTTTATATAGTCTAATTACATATTATCGTAATAATCCACTAAGAAGTCAAGTAAGGGCAAATAAGATACTATTTTGTGTTTCTGATAACATATTTATTTAAGTAACTAATCTTGCATATGGATAAAATAGGAATTTTTAATCACGCTACAAGAGCCCGTTCCACAACCAAATAAACATGAAAAGAAAGAATGGTGGCACGCAGATTGTACTCGTACTTTAGCCGAGGAAATGTTAAAACGTATTCCTACAGATGGTGCATTTTTAGTCAGACCTAGTGAAAAAGAAAGCAACTCTTATGCCATTTCGTTTAGGTAAAATATTCTAAAGTTTTACTGTTCTATAAAATGATGATATTTTAATAGCCTTTTTGTTTCGTTACAGGGCAGAGAAAAAAATCAAACATTGCAGAATTAAGCAGGAAGGACGTTTGTACACCTTTGGTACTGTACAGTTTGAAAGTTTAGTTGAATTAATCAATTACTATGAAAGGCACCCATTATATAAAAAGATCAAATTATGTCATGCTGTAAATCAAGACGTTATTAGAAGAATGGGACTGGTACGTCTTTTAATACTATACATATATCTGTCATTTAAAATATTTATTGAATTATTCTTTCATATTCAGGATGTAGATGATGGTTCAGTTTACGGTATTCCCGGTTACATGGACCCTACAAGTTTTACATCAAAAGTGAGTTATATTAGTAAACATATAAATTCAGGAAATCTGACAAATTTAATTTATTTTAAAGGTGACTGTAAAAGCTATCTATGATTATAAAGCCCGAAGAGACGATGAATTAACCTTAGTAAAACATGCTATAGTAACGAATGTACATCGGGAAAGTGGTGGTTGGTGGCGGGGAGATTATGGTGGTAAAAAGCAACACTGGTTTCCTGCCAATTACGTAGAAGAAATAGAACCTCAAGATAATCAGGGAGACGTAAGTGTTTCCCATTTTTGTATTTTTAATATCATATACTGATGATTAATATATTATTTCAATCAGTCAACAGATTCTATGATGTTTGGTAATCTTCAAAAAGGTTCACTGGATATTATGGGCGCTGTTGTTGAATTAAGAGTAGGTGGAAGACCTGGATTAGAATGGATATTAAGAATTCAGAATCCCAGTATGTGTACAGTGTTTGAAGTCGCGACTTCATCCAAAGACACAGCATTAGAATGGATGTCTAGTATTAAAGAAACTGCTCAAAATGCAAGTGTTAGAGTAAGTATACATATTTTTGTAATTTGAAAAAATTATAACTAATTCATTTTTTTTTTATTATTTCACTTATTTTTTTTAGGAAAATCAGCACAAAGAAATGGAACGTGCATGGAGAATAGCAAAAGAAATGTCAAATTTAATCGTTTATTGTAGATCAGTTGCATTTAATTTAGAAAGAATAAGAACAAAAGGTTTTATATTTAATGAAATGAGTAGTTTTCCCGAAACAAAGGCTGAGAAACTTATGTGTCAACAAGAGAGCAAATTTTTTTTAAAGTACCATCAGGTAAACCAATACAAAGTTATCAGTAATGATTGTATTTGTAAAATCAGAGAGATGTAGTTATTATAATATAAATGAAATTCTATAGATACAATTTAGCAGAGTCTATCCTAAAGGACAACGCATTGATTCGTCCAATTATAATCCGGTACCAATATGGAATTCTGGCTGTCAAATGGTAGCACTAAATTATCAAACTGGAGATAAATCAATGCAGCTCAATCAGGCAAAATTTAGAGAAAATGGTAACTGCGGTTACATTTTGAAACCCGAATTTATGTGTAGGGATGATTTTAATCCACAAGACAAAAGTTGCCTACTTGGTATAGAAACTTTAAAATTTAATTTAAAAATTATTGGTGCGAGACATTTAATGAGATCAGGAAGAGGTATAGCTAGTCCTTTCGTTGAGGTTGAAATCATAGGAGCAGATTTTGATACCGGTACAAAACTAACAACTAAGACAATACGTAAGTGAAATGTTATTATAGACATAACGCTTTCGACGTTTACACAATAACTGTATTCAAATTCTAGCTGATAATGGATTTAACCCCATGTGGAATGAGTCTTGTGAATTTGAAGTTGCTAATCCATACCTTGCATTTATACGATTCGTTGTACAGGATGAGGATATGTTTGGGGATAGTAACTTTATTGGACAAGCTACATATCCTGTATGCATAAATTAGAGAAGTATCATTTTTAAGTCACTGATTGAGTACAAATAAAATATTTGTTCGATGTAATTAGGTACGATGTTTGCGGTCAGGCTACAGAAGTGTCACATTAAAAAATAATTATAGTGAAGATCTAGAACTTGCATCGTTATTAATACATTTGCAAATTACATCCTCAAGTGTAAGTCTAAAAGTTAATTACAATTGATTTTACAAGTACACGTTTTATGTTGGAAACTTGTCGTTTCAGACGCATTCGCATAATTTATGAATCAATGTTAAATCGCACTGAAGGCTTAAAATATTTTATGCATAG